CCATGGAATGTACAGTATTTACTAGGGCCCCTGGTTGGGTCCCCTTTCTGAGGCGGTGGCCTCTTCACTCAAGGCTTGTCATTCACTTAAGCTAGAATCTGGTGGATTGGGATAGCGAACTCAGTGAAGGAATCTAGTACCGTGACTCTTCCTTGGGGCTATGATATGTGCTTGTCCTATTCTTATTATCGAACTTGTCGTTCTTTTGGCTTGCCTACTTAGTCGTCCTAGAGTGCGTAGCACTCCGTTGTCGCGAAGACTTCTGCAAGGGTTTGGCTCTCTTGCCTACTTAGTCGTCCTAGAGTGCGTAGCACTCCGCTGTCGCGAAGACTTCTGCAAGGGTTTGGCTCTGAGCTATGGTCAGCTCATGGTCGGCCAGCAAGCCCTTCTTCAAAGCCGAGGATGCGATTTGATCATCGCATCCTATGATGTTCGCCTTCTCTGCCTTGAATCTCTTGATATAGTCTCGTAGAGACTCGTCAGGCTTCTTGTGCATATTAAATAAGCGATCTGGCTATTTTCTGACCGTTCGGTAGGAGGTGTACTACTGTGTGAAAATGAGGGCAAACTCCTTGAAGCTGTCGATTGATGTAGATGGTAGAGTGTGGAACCAGTCCTGTGCTGCTCCTCGCAAGTTCATCGAGAACACCTTGCACATCATGGCGTCGTCTACCTTCTACAGGATTGTAGCACTCTTGAAGTGTTTTAAATGCCTCTCACGATCAAAATCCCCCTTGAACTTTTAAATGCCTCTCACGATCAAAATCCCCCTTGAACAGTGTGATGGATCATGTTGTGAACCACTTCAAAGATGTAGCCTGCTCTACCTCATCGGTGAAGGGCGAGGAGTTGACTTGATCAACTTCCCTGCTCACGGCCTCCTCCGTGTTTCCTTTAAGTTGGAGACTCTGGAGTTGGTCATTCATAAGCCTCTCAACATCTTATGCTTGTAGGGCTTGTGGCTCAGGTTAGCGTCTTTCGTGATTCAGATGTCGTTGGTTAACTTCCTCCCCAGCCTCCAAAGGTCGATCCCTTGGTTATCTTACCTATGGGGCTGGCTAGTAGATTGAGCTTGTGAGGGTTCCTCTACGGCTCGTCGCATGAGTTGGTTCTACTCAAGTAGGTTGGTGATTGTCGACCATTGCATTTGTCACGTAACTGTTAAATAACTCAAGCTCCTTGTAGGCCCAACCTAGAATGGATATTTCCTTGTGGGCCCAAGAGAGTGGACATCGGACTATGGGCCCAGCCTCTCGTGCGCATTGGTCCTTGGACCTAATCTCAAAAGGATTGTCGATCGGCTTCGAGTAAGGCTTGCAATCTGTGTCTCATCAGCACGTTCTCGTTCTCTCTCCTGCCCATTTGTCACTGTCCCACTGGCTTCGGACCTCTAGAACTATGTGTTGGTAAGGCGTTGTGTTCTTCTCTCCTCGCATTGGGATCCAAGGTCAAGGCCCTGGCCCCAAGTTGCTATCCTTGAGTAGCTGGCCCACCAAATTGTTTTGGTAATCAACTCTATATGTGAATTGACCATCTCGTGATTTAAGGTCCACCTGATTGCATGGGTCAGGAAGAGTAGCGTGCATTGGTCCTAAAGGCATATTGGCTAGGGCTTCATTGGACGGGTACGCAGGTGCATAAGTCAAGTGTGACAACAATGGAGGGAGCAAATGGATTTGCTCCAAGACGGAGGCATGACCCGGGACGACGTTGAGGTAGTCGTGAATGGTGGTGCCTTCATGGATGGCTGCAGCGGTACTAGGCCCTTGTGGTGGCGAGGTGAAGGAGGCCGTGGGACCATAAGCAAGTACAACAGAACACTGCTACGTGGTTCCAACAGTGGGATGGCGCGACATGTTTCCTTTAGCAGCTAGGGCTTACAGCTGCAAGGTGGAGGAGGCCATGGGGCAGTGCTGCAATGCGATGGTTCTAGTAGCTGCATGGCTGTGCTATGATGGAGCGGCTGCAAGCGGCTAGAAGGATTCAACGGCGATAAAGGGTGGCTACAAGGCAGGCTCTGCTACCACCCCTTACGGTAGGCCTCATCATTTGGTCCGCAGGCTCATGGGCCGATGGGGGCCCGTCCGGCCCATCGAAAAAAGGCCTGGCCCGGCCCGTTTTGGGCTTTGAGATGGCCTGGCCCGCCTTGGGCCGAGCTAGGCTTGGGCTTGAGTGTTTGAAGCCCAGCCCGGCTTATAGGCCCGGCCCGGTTAGGCCCAAGAAAGCTCGGCCCGGCCCACCCACAAAAGCCCTGCCCGTTAGGCCCGCATACATATATAATTATGTATAAATAAGAGTTTAGGATTAGGATTATATCACTTAAATCACATATATAATTTGTTTCATTTCATTTACTTTTCTTTACTCATTCCTAGTTTATAATTGGATGATTAGCACATTAATTTAATTTGTGTCAATTATTAATACAACAATTATATATATATATATATATATCAGATGAACAACATATCATATCACCAAATATAATCATATCACGAAACATAATCGTACCACCAAATATAATCATACCCCGGCCCGGCCCGCTATTTTCTCTTTCCTCTTTAAAGTCCGGCCCGACCCGGCCCGGCCCATTAACAAGCCCTACCTTACGGTGGCAGCAAGGTTTCCGCCATGAAACCTTGGGATGGAGGGTTCGGACCCGTCTGTAATTGTGTCATCACAACGGCCCTACTTCTCGCATGTGTACTTCCAACCATGGTTGATTGGAACAAAGTATGGAAAGGTTTTGGAGCACGCATTAAGTATTAACTCGCGCTCTCAATGAAAGCACCAATTTGTGGGAGTGATTTTCCTCCCTAAAGCATATTTGTCTTGTGATCCCTTCTTCCTCTTTGCTTCTCTTTCTCCATACAAAACAACATGGAGTGAAAAGACCACACCTAGGAGGTGTTGCCCAAAGGCCTTTCGTTGCCTAAGTTAGGTTGACTGTATCTAGGAGAAACAATAGCTAACAAAGGGTGCAAAGATTTTTCTCAGGGAGAACTAGGTGGTTGAAGCCATGTGTGGTGGTCGGAGCCTTGGGGGAGAGAGAGAGAGAGAGATAGTGTGTGTGTGTGTGTGTGTGTGTGTGTGTGGGTGTGTGTCTATGTGTGTGACGGCTAGGATTTTTGAGAAGGGATTTTTGCAGAGTTTCAGACGTACATCAAGTCTTGTGCGTAGCCATGTATTTATAGGAGCCTTGGAGGTTAGGGTTTTCAGAAGAATAATTCCACACATAGAAAAGAATTATTCTCCCCCAATTATAGTAAGGATCCCCAATTTAGTGAAATAATTCCTAAATTGATTTGATTAATTATTTGACTTCGGATTTGTAAATATTTGTTTCCACAGTAACTTATCAGTAGCCATGAATGAGAAATGTATTAGGTATTTGTCGAACTTAAATGTGACACCCTGCTTCTATTAGTACCCAAAAAAAAAACCAAATTTTAGTTTGATGATACAACTGTAATAGGGACATATGGCACGGATAGAGCCATCTACTTACAATTAAATTGAGTAGCACTCACATTGTGTTTATCATCAGAATGAAGCAACATAGGATGGGCAGCAGCATTCCTATGCAATAGATTTTTAGAGACAAGGAAATCACATTGAGAGCCACCAGCAGCAATAGGGCCTTCATCTGAACTTGAAGCCCCAAAACCTTTTCCTTTTTTATTTACATGAACTAGAGCTTTCTTCAACATTGGCAGGGTTGCAAGAAATGGGGGGGCATATTAAGGCTGCAATCGATATCCTGCAAAATTCATAAGGGTTAAGCACTTAAACGTCAATCGCAACAAAAAGTGGCAGTGTTCTCGAAGACCGATTCAAGACTGGCTACCTGAAGTTTACAAGCAGGAATGAGACTGGTTGTCTTACTTCTACTCTTAACTGCAATTGAGTATTCTGGCTTTTAACTGTGGCTATAAATATTTGAAAATTAAATAAGGCAATGATTAACTCACATTCATTCGGATTAGCAAAGTCTTCTACCAGGAGATCACTAGGCCTGTTTTTTGAGCACTCAACCTCATTTTGCATTTCATCTTCATCATCAGGAAGGAATACACCAGTGCGTTTACGGCCAACGACTGTTTGCTCATTGGTGTTCAAATTAGACAAATTTTTTGGTGAAACAGTTGAATTGGGAATATTTTTTTTTCCAATTCCTTTCCTTTCCTTTTCTTGTGGTTGAAGTTTTGGTGGACCGGATAAAAGAAATTCATCATCCTTCAACTCTTCCACACTGGCAGAAGATTTGGAGATGCTAGAAGTGGGCTTTCTTATCTCTAGTGAAGAGCTTGAATTAGACACACTATCTCATAGATGACCACTCCCTCCGGTGTCAGATTCCGAACACCAATCCAAGAATGAATTCTAGTATACTTTTTAGTGAAGAGAACGATCCTTACCAGTTTAACCAACCCAAGTTGTTTAATGAAAACAAGTTTAGGAATAAAGAAGACAATATAATATATGTTTCATATTGTGCCTAACTCATTATGTAACCTCATACGCCCCACTCAAATATGAACGGATTTTTTTTTTCACCAAGCAAGATACGTTTAAAAGAAAAACAAGAGTAGGCACACTGGCAGCGCTGTTTCTCATGAAGAGCAATAGAGCACGTAAAAATAGTAAAAAGGCAGAGTAAAAATATGTACCTTCAGCCATGGAAGGATCATCCTTGATTTCTCAATGAGACAATCAAGAGAAGTATTTTTCTGCAGCAGAAAATTCCTCTCACGTTGCTCGGTCAGAAATAGACAAATGACAGTTAATTAATGTGTTTTTATTCCATTTTCTGCACTGCCTTTTGGGATTAGGCATAGAGTTCAGTTTCCTGAAAGTGAAACTATTTGTATCATCTACCCTAAACCCTGGTGCACGACCTCCACAAACCATTTTTGGTATCATCTCCCTAATAGACATTTTAAGGATATCCCTACTATCTCCAACTCCCAATCATTCAAAATTTAATGGAAATAGGGCTCCAGAATAACGTCTCCCATAACATCTAAATTTCATCACCAAATGCAGCGTTATTTTCAGCCCCCATAAAAATTCATCACAATTCACAGAGTTCAAACTGTTAAACAAAATAACAGCTCAAAAAAGATCACAACATCGCAATTTCATCAGATTGATTCTGAGAAAGTAACAGATAATTCCTAAAGCCCAAATTAAAAACAATCCAGCATAAAGGTAAAGTACAACCTTTTATCAAACACAACTATGTTTGATTCTTATTGTAGAACTGGAGCATCAGTTATTATATTGCTTCCAACGAGCGACCCAAGTTTAAGACCGTCTCTCATTCTTGTCTTCCCACCAGTTCAGGAACTTAGTTTGTGCAGCCAACGTGTCCAACCTGTAAAGTTGCAGCCAGTGGTTTGCAATTTCCTGTCCAAATGTCCAACCAAAAACACCTCCAGCTAGAAAGGATAGTCCAGCACCTGTCAAATACAACAGGGTTCAGAATCTAGAAACTACTCCGAACCATAACATAACCATCTATAATCTATCTAAAAACACTATAAAGATTGCAAGTTAAAATGCCCATAAAGATGTCATGTATTCACATATGTTAATATTGAAACATTCAAAAATTGTAAGTTAAAATGCTCAGAAAGATGGCATGTGCATCACTAAGCTATACAAGTCATCTGCTATAATCAGAATACAGCTGATTTCTACCAAGCCACGTTGGTATGTTACAAATATATTCACAATCTATAGTGTACACGAGCTTATGCTCATTTGGTACTTGCATGAACCAAAGTTGCAATAAATTGTAATGCAATGTCTTTCCATCGAGTCATTTCCACACTTTCAATATCAAGATCATAAAAAGAGGGTGGTTTGTGAAATCAGTATAAAGACTAGCACACTTTTGAATCACTCCCACATATGAGAGAGAGAGAGAGAGAGAGAGAGAGAGAGAGAGTTGCATGTAGCCGTATATCATAACATACTGTTCCTTTAGCTCTACCAAAGCTTGAACACCTAACCTTTAAGTTGCTTGACCTTTCCAGGCTATATAAACTCTGGGCTTTGGAAAAGGAACAGTTGAAAAACAGAAAAAAAAAACAAAACAAAAAATAGACTAAGCATATGCAAGGTTTTTCAAAAATTTATATTTCCAGAACATTCAAGCCAAGTTGACAGAAGAAATATCAGAAAGAGAGAATGAAGAAGACAACTCTGAAATATAAGGGACCAACTTGAAGCAGCAAAATTAGAGGGACACTTTGGAAACTACTTTTTTATTTTTTTTTTCACATCATGATATTTTTTTGCCACTGATAGAAATCCATGTTGGTCCATTCTACCATAGCCAACTTGATAAGCATTAGCCTTTTCTTAAGTAAGAATCTTTTGCCAGCAAAAACGAATTTAGTATAGCAATTAGATGTGAAGTATTAGATATGCATATTTCATTTATCCACAAATTTGAACTGTTGCTCAAGAAACTTTACACAAGTGATGTCATGTTAATTCAGGCAAAGTAGAAAACATCAAAGGTCTGTTTGAAGAAAAAATTTAGATTGTGAAGAAAAAATAAAAATATGAAGAGGAATTGAAGATTTGGTGAAATAATTAGAGATTCAATTGATAGGCAGGTCAATCAATGAAATAGCGAAGACACTAAAAAAGAAGAGCTAATGGTCTACCATGCAAACTCCTAGAATATTTCCACGTAAAGCCAGCAGTTGATACTGCTCCAATAACACTTCCTGTAAGACCAAAGTTCACTGCTTCCCTAGCAGTCTTCAGCTGAAAAAGGAAAAGTATGTCAATTAAGCTTGTTAAAGTGAAAAATACCATCTTACGCGTACAATATGAAACATGAAAGGAGCCAGAAATTATATTAGCAGACATCTTTTCAAGTTGTGGGCTCAAAATCTGGCTTACTAGACAACAGTACAACACAACAAAAAAAGGCTAGAACATTGGCAGCAAACTTAAGATTAACAAATAATATTTTAGTGCACTTTGAAAAGTAATAAAAAACCACTTCTTAGGTTTGAAAAAAGAATAAAAGATATCTAAAATATAAAAGGCAAATGAAATCTGATACGCTTGTCCACTTCATTTATCTGCATTTTGTATTAAGGTTGGTGGCAAGATAACTAGAGATAAGGAAAGATACCAAAAGAAGGGAAAGCAATTTAGACACTGGACATAAAAAATACAGTTCTTGTCTGATATTTTGGGTGAAGTTTGATTAGTTGTCTCCTTGTTTGCTCCATTAACTAGACACAATGTCTTGACAACCAAGAATCTTAAAGTTTCCAAGATTACAACCAGACATATAAACTTATAAACCTTTTCAAAAGGTCCTACAAAAAGGCCACTAGGTTTACATTAAAGAAGAAATAGGAAGAACGAGCCCTCTAGCCACAATACCACTTTCTATTTCAACTATTTCATGCACCTCATTTTGATTTCAGGATCATTGTTTTATCTCTTCAACACATCATTAAACTAAAATTCAAAATCAAACACTCTGTGTCTGCGTGTGTGTGAAGCAAAACTGCGAGCATTTGTTCAATGCTCGCATCCCTTACTCTGATTACTTTCCTGTCAGAAGAACAACAGTCTTGAATCATATCTAATGCAAATTCTGTGGAATTATTCATTCTTTTTCCTAAGCCATTTAAACACCCCACTAACCTACCATCCATATATCAAAATTCCGACCTTACTCTGAACTGGTGACCAACACATAAAACGAGCAATAGTTTCACCATAACAATTACCACTTTTAGTAATGAAGGTCCATTGCAGTTAAGAAGAACCAAAGATGATGACTGGTAAAAGGATTTTACAGTCAAGTAAAGAGGTATCAAGCTAAACATTTATTTTTCAATAATAAGCCAAAATTTGACGGATAAGAGAGAAACAACTTAAAATTAACAACAAACAACAAAGAAATCCAAATGAAACGAACTAAGCATAAATAAAATGGGAAGAAAAAAAAAACAAACAATGCCTGCCCAGATGAATATTATCAACTCAAAATCAAAATTATTCATCTCCAAAAAGAAAAACCAAACCTCATATCCAAAAATAAGACATACCTGGGAGATAAAAAAATGGACACTTAAATATCAATGACTGAAAAACGCACAGCACAAAAATGAAATCAAGGGAAAAAACCCCAGATGAAGAACATTAAAAAAAAAAGGAACAAAGATCAATCCAACACAAACAAAAATACGAATACCAGATCCACGAAGGTCAAAACACAACAAAAAACAAAGGAACCCAAAAACCCATTCCAAACATAAACATTTACACGCAGAAAGAGCAAATTAAAATGAAGGGAACAAAAGAAGAGAAGGTTTAGAAATTACAGCGGGGCCATGAACAAGGTCAAAAGCAATGAAAGCTTCGACATCAGACACAGACCAAGGTGGAAGAGGTTTATCGCGCTTGATGAACTTCGAGTAGTTGCTGAGGAAGGAGAACCTTTCGCACCAGAAATCCTTGTAACCCTTCCAATACTTTGCGAAGAAAGACTGAGTGTGAGTGTTATAACAAACAGATTTTTCTTTTTTTTCTTTTTTTTGGGAAGAGTAAAACAAGAAGCATTAGCAACAAACCGTTTAACTCTGATACGCATGCCCATTCAGTGTACTAAATAACCTAACATTTCAGCAAATAAAAGAGGAATGCCAGTAAAATGTAGTGCACAAAACAAACCCTAAAATCGAAAAAGGCAAACTACTTTACAGCAGGAAAAGGGAAGAACCTTCAAGATAGCTTTGAAATATACTACAAAACGGCATATGTTTATGGTTAATCAGTATTTAGAACAAAAATAAAGAGAGCGAGAGAGAGAGAGAGAGAGAGAGAGAAACCTCAAGACCAAGGCCCTTGATGTGGGTATGAGCGGCTATGCCCTGCTTCTTAGCAGTGGAATGAACCTCTTCTATCCTGACCTTGTCCATCTGGTGATATAAACGCGACGCTATAATGCGTGGCAGGGACGGGTGGTTGTGACGAGGTGAGGGGTGGAAGAATGGCTGTCTGGGGTATGGGTTTGGGAGGGGCTGGGGTTCTGATTTAAGGGGAGATTAATCTAACGGCTAGAGATACAATACTGTACAGATAAAAAAATTAAATAAAAACCGCAATGATAGAAAATATAAACTGGCGTTAGTGTGGTGGAGCATAAAAAGTTGCTCCCACCAAATCCAATAAACATACCTTTTTATTCATCTCTCTCTCTCTCTCTCTCGCTCTCTGTATATTTCGCAGGGAAGAACCTATCTGGATAGTTTTTTTAATCTGCAAAAAGAGCTCTCCAACTTCTTGTTCTTCTCCTTTAGCATTTTCCCATTTCCCCAAAGCAACCAGAGGTTAGACAGAGAGTCTGAGAAATTAAGAGGTGGTCAGTTGAAAATTACATACCCAGAAAACAGGGAGAGGTAAAAACCAGTTTTTACTGTGGTTTTTACTTTGTAAAAGCTTTCTTCTTTATCTAGCTTATTTTTGTTCTAAATACTGATTACCCATAAACATGTGCCGTTTTGTAGTATATTTCAAAGCTATCTTGAAGGTTCTTCCCTTTTCCTGCTGTAAAGTAGTTTGCCTTTTTCGATTTTAGGGTTTAGGGTTTGTTTTGTGCACTACATTTTACTGGCATTCCTCTTTTATTTGCTGAAATGTTAGGTTATTTAGTACACTGAATGGGCATGCGTATCAGAGTTAAACGGTTTGTTGCTAATGCTTCTTGTTTTACTCTTGCAAAAAAAAAAGCTGTTTGTTATAACACTCACACTCCATGTGGTTGTGTTAGAAATTAGAGTTCGATGCTTTATCTTCAGATGATGCTGTACTCATTGTAGTGTAGTAAGTAAATATACTTCTGGCAGCAAAGAGACCAACTAATGAAATGGAGAAGTTTAAAACGTCAGTTTTTCTGCCATCTGGAGGCATAAAATGGTTCATAAATCTATTCTTAAATTTCAAAATCAAGAAATTAATGTCATCTTAACTCCAATTGTGTTAACCATGGTTGTAGTTTTTCAATTTGTTTTCTGGAGTGATCTCCATCTGAATGACAATATAATTTGGGTTTTTGGGTGTCATTCTATTCCAGGCCAATGGAAGAGCAGTACCTTGGGCTGCTGGCTTTGTAGGTCAGGGGGAAGCGAGAGAAGCTGCTGGTCTTGTTGTTGATATGATACGACAGAAGAAGATGGCTGGTCGGGCTCTTTTACTGGCTGGACCTCCTGGAACTGGAAAGACAGCGCTGGCTCTTGGAATATCCCAGGAGCTTGGGAGTAAGGTATTCTTCACGTTTTTCATCTGTCAGCTGAAATGTAATGTTAATTAATAATCTGATGTTTCATGAGATTTCTTGATTCATATTCCATTAGGAATAGTGTTTTTTTCTTAATGGTTAATGGTTCTTGTTTGCAGGTTCCATTCTGTCCAATGGTTGGATCAGAAGTGTATTCATCAGAAGTAAAGAAAACTGAGGTTTTAATGGAAAATTTTAGACGGGCTATTGGTCTGCCTATCAAGGAAAATAAAGAGGTCTACGAAGGAGAGGCAAGTTTCTAATGATATCAAATATTTTGTAAATAATTTGGTGTGATAATGTTACTTTTATATTTGAGTTGGTGGGTTTCATTTGATGATGTTTTGATAGTTTCATTTTAGGTGACGGAACTCACGCCAGAAGAAACAGAGAGTGTTGCAGGTGGTTATGGTAAAATCATCAGCCACGTCATCGTTGGATTAAAAACTGTTAAAGGAACCAAGCAACTGAAGTTGGATCCCAGCATTTATGATGCATTGATTAAGGAAAAGGCAAGGTCCTCCTATTATTATTTATTTTTTGTGTATGCATGAAGAATAAAAAAACTTTTTGTTTCGCCTAGTTGATTATTCAAGGTTTTCATGTTGAAGTACACTTTATTTTCAGGCCATTTGTTCTTTTGATAGCACTTTCCTGATACAACATGCAGGTAGCTGTTGGTGATGTTATATACATTGAAGCAAATAGTGGAGCAGTAAAAAGAGTAGGTAGAAGTGATGCTTTTGCTACAGAATTTGATCTGGAAGCAGAAGAGTATGTTCCACTTCCAAAAGGAGAGGTTCACAAAAAAGAAGGAGGTTGTGCAGGTTTGTTCTATGTGAACTGTGTGTTTCTTTGTAAATGTTTTCTGTGATGATGGTAGCACCCATTTTATCATACTTTGTCTTGGGTGGGTTTTTTCTATTGGCTAGTAGCCTTATTAGTAATTACCCAAGTTGATCGGTGGATAGTTCTTGCTGGCTCTGGGTACTACTTCTTTCTTAAAGGAATGTGTGTCATCCCTGCATGGTCCAGATATTTCCCAAAATGTGCATTCCTAATTCTGTTTGTTTGATTAATATAGGAAACTGGATTCTCCAAACATGCTGAAAAATTTAGTTGCCTGCAATTAAGTAGTTGGACTTGAGCACTGCAGTCCACCCATGAAACGATTATTAAGGATTTTTGGCCTGATAACTTGGTACTAGTAGAAATGGACGGTTAACATTTTCTTGGACTACCATCTGAACTACCATATATAGGCATATCTTACTAAATCCTTAACACTGGTGTTTCTGACCAATTTTTCTTCATGTTTTCTTTAAGTTATTATTGTGTTCAATTTTTGTTGACAGATTCCAACATTCATGCTCTGCATATAATCTGCTCGTCTGTTGATGTTCAGTTTCTATTTGCTTATGTAACTCTTTAACAGGATGTAACACTACATGATCTGGATGCTGCAAATGCGCGACCTCAAGGTGGGCAAGACATATTATCTCTAATGGGTCAGATGATGAAGCCAAGGAAAACTGAAACGACTGACAAGTTGCGACAAGAAATAAATAAGGTACAATCTTATGAATATGTAGGAAATGTTGATCCAACTCGATGTATTTTCTGTTGTAGGAACCTAAGATATGGTTTCCTGGTGAAACAATTCCTTGCTTATTTCTTCGGTAAATTTGTAAAAGCCTGTTGACAAATTACTAATGTTTCTGAGAGGTCAACTAATAAAGAGTTTCCAAGACATTGACATACTTCAGATCAGATCAACGTCAGCTTTAAATTCCATCTAATTGGGCTTGATTACATTGATTCTGTTTTGCCCTTGCAACACAAACATAGCCTGTGACAGTCATACCGCTGTGACAAATATGCCCTTTCTCACTTTTTTTTTACCCATATAATATCATGCTCCAGATAAATGTAGTTTCTTTTTGCATATCGAGGCTGCTTTTGGAAATATACTGATTTTAGAACTTCATCTTTTAATTTCTGGTTATAACTTTTTTTCTTCTCTAATCTTTGGGCGGGGCATTTCTTTTACTGTTGTGTACTCTTCTTGCAAATAAATTATTTTAATTAATAAGTTTAAATACATTATTCTCTTTCTGACTAAATCCTAAACCCATTTCTCGCACCTCCTTAACAGTTTCTTTCTCTGTAATAATATTTTCATTAGCTATAAAATAAAGTCGAAGGAAAGTGTGTAATTTACTTTATGACTGATGAAGGTGTAGCGGAGCTTGTACTTGGAGTTTTGTTCATTGACGAGGTTCTTTCCTCTTTCAAGTCCTTTAGAACTATTTCGTCTGTCCAAATCACTTATACTTTTGAATCTTGACCAATAGGTACGTATGCTGGATATGGAGTGTTTTTCGTACTTGAATCGTGCTTTGGAGAGCTCGTTATCTCCAATAGGAATATTTGCCACCAATAGAGGAATTTGCAATGTAAGGTATGAAACTTGTAATCAGACAGGCTTTTGCACAATAACTAGGCCATGCCTTTTAGTATGCTCGCTGTTAGCATAAAAGCATAACTAGGCCATACCTATCTTTCCATGTTAATTGTGAAGAAATTTCCTAAAACCATCAGTGTCCTCACTAGTGTTTTGCTTTCTGAACATGGATATGTTACTGTGCAGAGGGACTGATATGGCTAGTCCTCATGGAATACCTGTTGACTTGTTGGACTGGTTGGTAATTATCCGAACACGGACTTATGCTCTTGAAGAGATGATAAAGGTCTATATCAATTTCATTTTCTTGTTGTCTATAAAATTTCTCTTTCTATGCCCAATCATCTTCTCAAGTACCAAACTATTGATTTTTTCATGTATCAAACTACTGATTATTCTATTGGTTGATGCTTGAACCAGATCTTAGTAATTCGTGCACAGGTGGATGAACTGGGAATAGATGACGACAGTTTGGCTTACCTTGGAGAGATAGGACAACGAACATCTTTAAGGTGGCATAAATTTTTGATTTGTTAACTCTGATTCACTCTGAATGATGCTTATTGCTTACTTCATTATTTCCTCAGGCATGCTGTTCAGCTCTTATCGCCGGCAAGTATTGTGGCAAAAATGAATGGCAGAGACAAAATCTGCAAGGTAGTTACAAATTTGACAATGTTATATGTGCTTGAAGTGAATTGTTCCAGCCTTTTCACTAACAAAATAAGTGTGTTATTATCTGTATAATTTGTAGGCTGACCTAGAGGAAGTGGATACGCTATCTGGATGCTAAGTCTTCAGCAAAGGTTCTCCAAGAGCAGCAGGAAAAATACATTTTATTAGGACTATATATATACATTTCTTTTTTTTTTTTTACAGATATTGTGTAATTAGGATTTTATCTTTTTTACTAGTTTGACCATACTAGGGTTACATCCTTGTATTATAAATACCTTCTTTTGAAGAATGAAATATAACTTGTAAATATTCTACCCATATTGTTTGGCTTTTCTCACATCTTCTCTCTCTATTCTCAACTTTTAGTCCTCTGTCCCCTTCTCTCTCGAGCTAAGACTAGGAGGCAATGAGACCCACCAGAGTACTGGCGGCTCTGTTTCTTGTGCTAGCTCTGTACTGTGGGCTAGACCCTTTTAAGCACAGTGCGATTGTGGACTTTCCGGACTTCGAAGCCTATGAAGTGGACATGCCCTCTTGGTCCTCGATTCCTACAGAGAGAGAACCCCGAGAACCTTCTGCAGAAATCGGAGATTAAGTTTCTGAACCAAGTGCAAGGCCCTGAGAGCGTCACCTTTGACCCACTTGGCCGTGGACCTTACGCGGGTG